TATATATATATATATATATATATATATATATATATCTGCCTCTTGTTTTATTTTACATTTTTCGGTAACACAAACATCATCCAAAACTAGAAGACAAGAAGAAAAAAATCAGGCAATTTTTTCAACCATCAATTACCGAAAATCGTGCCTTTCACGTTCTTTCTTGACGCGAAACTCGATGCGAAGGAATTCTTTTCGAAAGCCATTGTATTTGTACAAGTTACACCGTAATCGCGTTAGTCTTATTAAATTTACATTATATATTTTATAGAACATTATTCCATACCGTTCGCGAACCTATAGCGAATGCGTGTGTAAAATTATATAATAAATCGGTACAGGCAAAGCCTGTACCACGAAGTTACGTCAGCATTTACGCTTAAGTAATGTCAAAGTGCTGTCTTGCTACGTCGGAAAGTCGCAATTCGATTTACGTAGTTGGTGTCCGATAGAGGAAAAAAAAAAAAGAAAAAAAGAAAGAAAAAGAAATATAGGGGCAAGAACCGCGTGATAGGCACGGCCCTGACAAAAGCGCAGGCGTCCGTGCGATTGAGTGACGTCATGATTCTAAGGTACGGGGCGTTATACGCTTATCAATGAACGTACGACGCCTACGGCGGATACCTGTTTTCTAGTGACTAACACCCTCCCTTACCCGCTCTTCCTTCTGCACCCCATACGTACTGTCCTTCGTTCAGCCACGCTTTTGTAGCCAACCAAATGCCGACTCTTTTTACTTCTCCTTACAGATCTCCAGCGCGTCGCCGTCGAGCCACGTCACGTCTTGATTTTGTTCATATGCTACTACCCTTCCGTGATAAATACACGGCAACACGTTTTTCTCATTGAGCAATTTGTCCTCAAATCGATCGCATGCCGCAATTTTGTTTCAACTGAACGAGGTCGAGTTTCCATCTGACACAAAATCTATACGCATTGTTCGAGCTCTTTGATCTTTAGCGAAAGCTCGTACAATTATTCTGAATCGACTGAATGGAATTGTATCGATTGTCATTTCGCGAATAACAAGTTGCAATTTCATAAGTAATTTGCAATTAATGTTATTTCGGAGTGCATCTGTTTACATATCGTTGTTCGAAAGCTGTTTAAAAAAATTTGACATAGAAAATGATATTGCGTTATTTGACGTACCTACATACATTTGTCACATACGTATGCATATTATTTCGCGTATGTCACCAATTCATTTTACAAAAGTGAAGTGAATCTCTGTTTCTTTACTGGTTCTCCAATAGAACTGGAAACGTCCAATCGTTTTCTGTCAATACATTAAGATATAAGATTCTGAAAATCATTATGTACAATATGGTTACACATGTATTATGATAAAACAATTAAATATAAAATAATTAAATATTAAATATCTTAACTGTTTCCATTGACATATCGCTCAATTTTTTTTATTTTAATGAAAATTTCCATAATTACGCATTTCATTACAGATGTATATAATTATCTGTACCAATTAACTTTTCATTGATTGTCTCCTTGTTTCACTAATTTTGTCGATTTTTTTTACAACATTTTTACCTCTCTTTACATTCAAATTTATTTTGCTTTTCCTTGACTCCACTCCTCCTCATATTTTAGCATTTATTTTTATCTGCGAAATTTGTGAGATAACGTTGCACTTAACGACAATAGCTGTGATATTTTCTGCATTCATTTAATACGATTCTAGTTCTCTTGTTTAGAATTATATTAGAACAGATTGTTTCGTTATAAATGTTATTAAAACATACCTTGGATATCATTTATCTGTATTAAAAATCCGAAATTTTACTAGAGAATAAAACATATGAAGGAGGGAAAATTTTCCTATTTTTAATATTTTGCGAATACAGATTATTGCAAGTTGCACTTGCGATTGAATTCAGTAACGCGCGGTTTCGTGTCCCTTTCTGATTCGTCGATGGCAAAACGCCGTATCTGCTTTATCTGTATTTTGTCAAGTCGTATTCGTGCTCTGACGTTTGAGGTTAGTTTCGAACGTTGACTAAAAACAGAACGCTCTACCTCTTTTTTAAATCATAAAAAGCACTCTTCTCCTTTTTACAGTTACATGCGTTTGGCTGACAATTGAACGTACAGCGATCGAAGAATTGGTTAATACACATCGCATAAAAGTCAAAGTGACTCTGATTGTTGAGTTGCCGGTTCTTAAGTGAAAAAAAGACATTTTAAAAAGTCAGCTATATATTCCCATCAATTACAAAATATGCTCTCGCCAATTGTAATACTTCTTGCTATTGGAATTGCGGTCGCTGAAGATTGTAAAGGATGTGTTTCTTTGGATTCTTATTCCTTTGATAAGGTATCTTAATTTTCGCAAATGTACATATATTTTTTTCTTTTTTAAGAGATCAGAGATATGAACTTTACTTATCCGATTCTTGTGTAAGATTGCCGAACTAGTTATTTAAAAACGAATAAAAGTAATTTATTTATTCGTTTGTTTTTCTTTATTTTGTTAATTAGACAACTTAGTCTCATGGTTACAGAACGCTTAGTTAAGTTAGAGGCATGTTTGTATTGTAAACGTAAAAATTTATAAGATAGAAATATAAATATAAAACGAATCAATTATATTTCAGTATACATTGTCTGTTAATATCTTACAGAAAACGATAAAGCAGATTAAGCACAGACTGTCCACTTTTTTTTACGAATCTGTTATTGATTTAGGCATGTTCTTGTAAATAAAAATATTTATGAAAAATATTCTTTGCTCGTATATAACAAGTAAAATGTTCGTGATATAGGTGATACCGAAATTCAAAACAGCAGTTGTTAAATTTGACGTGGCATTTCCGTATGGGGAGAAACATGAACAGTACGCACAGATAGCCGCGGCAACAAAAAACTCTCACGATCTATTGGTTGCTGAAGTGAGAGTAAAAGATTATGGCAATAAAGATAATTCTGATCTCGTCGCTCGTTATAAAATAAAGTCCGAAACATTTCCCGCCGTTCTTCTATTTCTTCAAGGAAAAACAGAACCAATTCCATTCGTTGCAGAGAAAGAAACGGATTTTACCGCGGACAATATTAAGCGATTTATTAAAATGAAGTCCGGAGTGTATCTTGGTCTTCCTGGCTGCGTGGAACAATTAGATAGGCTTGCCGAGGAA